CTGGTGGTTGTTCTTTTGCAGATTCCTTCTTATTTGGTTTTTGCATATTGGAGCATAATTTTCTTGGACTTTTGACTCCCTTCTATTCGTGCATTATTTGATGATGTTGAAATAGATTTCCTGGTAATGAGCTTGTGTGAAGTGCAATGTAGAAGAGAAGTTGATTTCTGCAGCTGTGGTCTCTGGCTTATATTCTTATCCCTTTTTATTAGACCGTCACCTTGCCTTAGAACAAAATTTCAAGGTTGAGGTCTTACGGATAGGGGTGTTCATGGTTCGATTTTTCCCAAAAAAGAAACCAAACCAAGTAAGTCGGTTTTTTTAATATTGGAACCAAACTTAACCAATTAAGTCGGTTTTTTATCGATTAAGTTTATGTCGGTTTTTCGATTTTTATCGGTTTTTTCTTAAAGATGAGACATACACTACCAAACGCATATTCCGGTGACTACATTTTCAATGTAACACTATCAAACAATTGCTCTTTGAGAAATCTATCATTTACCAAGATATATTGATGATAATTGAATCAATCTACATTATGAGCTGATACTTTTCCTATATTGTAATTCCGCATCCTCTGGATGCTTTTGTTATTAATATACCACTTCATCAAAAAAAAATTGAATCAAATAGTGATGAATAATTTAAGGACTCAATTAAAATAAATTATTTTTAACATGAAATAGATTCTCGTACTTAGCAAAAGAAAACTAGAACTAGAATGTAAAGGCAAAGAACTAGATTATTATAATAGCAAATAACTAGACTAAAAGTGCAAACAATTAACATGTACCATAAAACTTTGGAAACTTTATTTAAAAATATACATATATATAGGTATAATAATAAATTTTAAATAGCTACTTCTATAATCGGTTTGGTTCGATTTTTTCGATTATTTTTTTATTAAAACCAAAACCAAACCAAACCAAATCTGTTCGGTTTTTTAAAATTCAAAACCGAAACCAAACCAAAAAAGTATCTTTTTTTGGATCGGTTTTTGGTTTGATTCGTCTTTTGGTTTGGTTCGGTTTTTCGGGGTTTTTATGAACACCCCTACTTACAGATAACACACTAGTAGGGTTTTGTTACTGGGGGACAGAAGGTGTTATGATACTTAAATCAACATATTACATATGCTTTGTTTTTGAAACTTTTGGTGCCAGGTATGGTGATTAAAGAGGAATATGGATTTCATCTTTCAATTTTTATTTTAATATTGCCTTGGACTAGCCCTAGGGATTTAGTCTTAGTGGTAAGGGTGCAACACGTGATGTATGGGTCAGGCGCACGTCACGGGTTCAAACCTTGCCGTTGACAAAAGCTTGGTATTACGTGAAGAAGGGTAGAGGGGTCGGCTCGTTCTCCACCGAGTTTTGAACTGTGCACCACTGTCCCTTCGGGATTTCTCGGTGATAAAAAAACCTTGGTTTTTTCATACTTGATACGTCATTTACAGAAAGAAAGAGCAGGATTCTCTTTGGGGTAGGTTAAGAACGAGGAAGGTTCAGCTTCTTTTGAATGACATCATGATCGATATCAGCTAGGTGATCTGCAGGACTAAATGAATGTTTTATACAGATGTACTGATACCTGAAACATTTGGAAAATTTCTGTCAGCGTCAAACAAGCTGTTTCTCAGTCAATCATTAGTTGGTGAACCTGAACATGTTCATGTATTTATTGTTAATTTGTAAGCTGGAGTCTTCCACTAGACTTTATTGTGTTACATTATGGTTAAATCTTTGCAGGTTGCTTTTAGGACAAAAGTTTTCCATCCAAATATCAACAGTAATGGGAGCATTTGCTTGGACATACTGAAGGAGCAGTGGAGCCCCGCGTTAACTATTTCCAAGGTCCTTTCTTACCTTTATCTGCTGAGAAATAATACAAGCTGTGAAAACATACTTATTCAGAGTCTTGGGACTCATAATATAAGAGTTTTTTTCAAATCATTTTGGATGCATCAGCTAATTTGTTGGTAATCTAAAGGATAGGTAATAAAGATATAGTGATTCCTTGAAAAGGAAACAACATTTTTATTGGACATCTTATATAATAATTAATAGGTGACTTAATCCTATTAGCTTTTCCTTATTATTCCTTTATAGCTTTAGGGAGCAATGGTGAAAACATTTTAACTATCTAACTTGTCCTTCATAAGGTGCTTTGGTTTCAGTTGATAACATATCTGTTCTCTAATGGTACATCAATTGTTTCTGTGGAATTATGTGTTGTGTTAAATGGTTTTCCTAGACCAGTAGAACTGGTTGAGTTTCACGAAGTATGTTGTGTTATTTGTGTTTCTTAAGGTGGGAAAGGTTTCTGTATTACCTTCAGGTTTTGCTTTCAATCTGCTCACTTTTGACGGACCCAAACCCTGATGACCCCCTGGTTCCTGAGATTGCTCACATGTACAAGACAGACAAGGCCAAATATGAAGCAACCGCCAGGAGTTGGACCCAGAAGTATGCCATGGGCTAAATATTGCCTATGGCGGCTTGAATTGATATAAAGAAAAACAAATTTCAATGTCTTTCTTCTCCGCGCTCTCCATTAACAAGTTGTACAATAGCATTAAGCATTGCCCTCTGCAGGAAGACTAATGATGCTTTGAATTTTGTTTATATAGATTCTAATATTTTATGTGGGGAAGCATATATTTATCTGGTTTTGGATTGTTTCCTTTGGCTTGACACTATTTGTGTAAAAAATTCATGCCTTTTGTACATTCTACTATCATGTTTATTACTATTAAGGTTAACTATGTGAGATACAGCATCATCCTCGAGGTGGGGTTTATCTTATCGTAGTTTAGTTTTATCTAATTAACCTTGGTCTATGAAGTTTTAGAAAAGATGAACGGATGTCTTTGTTTTTTCCTTTTCTTCTTTTCCCCGTTTCCTATTTTCCCACCTTGAACTACTTCTCAAGTATATGGCCACAGTTTAATGGAGTTTCCAAAATTTCGTTGTTTACGGACTAGTCTATATTTAGCATCGAGTAATCTGAAACCACCCTATTATATGATGCTTATATTTTGGGTTGGTTTGTGCAGGGGCGGGTGTAGCGTTTTACCGGTGGGGTTCAATTGAATCCATAACTTTTGATGCATAGTAAAAATTTGTATGTAAAAATTCATTAAAATTGCATAAATAGTAGATCTGAACTCATAATTTTAAAAATATAACTGGTTTAACGCTAAAAATTTTAAAAGCTGAACCCATAGGGTTTAAATTCTGAATCCGCCTTTGGGTTTGTGTGCATCTGCTACCAAAGTTTCTGCGGAAAGAATTCCCTTACTTTCATCTCTGTTGAAATTTGAACTTGGTTTCCATATTGTTACTCCGACTCTTCGACTGTTTCACCATCTACTACAGGGGTAATCATTGCACCATTGGATGCGGGAGAATAATGGCATGTTTTGCCAAGTTTTTTCGAGTTCAAAAATATTTTTTTTCTTTCAAAAAAAGTATTTTTTTTTTTTCAAATTTGAAGTGTTTGGCCAAGCCTTTAAGAAAAAAAAAAGTGTTTCTGAGAAGAAGCAGAAGAAAAGTATCTTCTTCTCATAAGCACTTTTTTGAGAAGTAATTTTGAGAAAAATACATTTAGAAACACTTTTTAAAAGCTTGGTCAAACACTAATTGCTGTTTAGAAGTACTTTTAAAATTAATTAGCCAAACACAAACTGATTCTCACCAAAAGTACTTTTAAAAAAAAATACTTTTCAAAATAAGCTCATTTTTCCGGGCCAAACGGGCTATTACACTTGTTGATTCTTTGCTGGGATCCTAAGCTTTCAAGGGCCAGGGGAAAGAGATGAAAATCAAATTTGTTATCGAGTTGCCAAAGTATTCTGAAAGTTAAAAACTTGTTTATCACAAAAATTAAAGGATCCGCTTTATTACCAGCGTGAGTCACATTTTAGCAATGGTTTCCTATTTACTTCTATTTGCCAACCAGAACTGTAAATCTGAAATTGAGCTCCAACTTTTATGTCTTATCCTTTTTGTAATATATAATTTGAAAGGGGGATAAAGGAACAAAAAAAGCAAAAAACAAAGCTTATATTGATGTAAATTTAAATGACTAAGAAGTTATTAAATATTCATATAACTGTCTTCAACTTATTCAGAGTTAAGGTGGAGTTATTGTTTAGTTGTTATTATTCCTTTATTTGCTGACGCATAGAATTCGTTTAGTGAAAATTTCGGCTCTAACATAGAATTCGTTTAGGGCCAGCAAGTGGGTCGGTTCCGGGTCTAAACGGGCCGAGTGGACCGGTCCAAACGGTCTCGGTCCCGATTCCGGGTCGGTCCCAAATTAAACGGGCCAAACGGGCCCGGGCCAAACGAGCTTTTTGTAGGGACGGAACCGGGACCGTTTGGTCCCGGGCTAAACGGTCCCGGCCTGCAGGCTAAACGGGCTAAGTGGGCCCAACATATTTTTTAAAAAAAAAAATATGAAATAGATATTAGAGACAAAAGAATGTTAAAAAA